GGTCCAGGGAATCACAGGCCCGCTGACGTTGGTGTATTTCCGATACGCTATAGCATGTCGACATGGCAAACCCATCGAAGCTGCAAACTCGCAGTTGCATTTCCAGTCATCGGTTCGAAGAGCATGCGTTTTGAATATCCCACCGATTTTGACGACGCTCAATTCTTCAGGATCTTTCTCGAAGTTGTACATTGAGGCATTTTCCAACCCTAGTATGTATTGCCGCTCTATCTGGCGGGCCGCATAGTGCGTAGTGAAACGCAGGACAGTCGACATTTCTTCGTCGTAGTTTGAATTGCTGAACCGACCAATTCTAGTCAACCTGTATTCGTAATCGTTCTGCTTCCGCCGATCGAATGCTACCAACGCCTTGATACAATTGGCCATAGACATCAAACTGTCGATTCCTTCTTTCAGCTTGCCAAAGTAACTCTCCAATCTGTTGTTTGTGTGATTGTTGAAGTGGGGGAGTGTAGCTCGCAGATAATACACCCAACGGTCTGTGCATGAGTGCCAATTCTTCTCAAAATACTTGAAGAAACGATCGATACCACATCTTTCGCAAAAGCCCTTTAGAGATTCGTGTGCCTCTTTGTATTTGTGTTCACTGGAGGCGTATACCATCTTATGCACTGCAGCGTCTACTTGGCTTGCGTCGTCTGATGAGATCTTGCCGAACTCGGGCTTCGAGCGCATCTCCTTTAGATACTTAATAACATGAAAATGACGTAACAGGATCCGGGCCGCAGGAAAATTTGCCTCCAACACCCGTATCTCATTCAAATCCTTGTCGACGACTATCACTTGGAGCAAGTCGATGCGCGTAGGGTGAAATCGTTTGAAATGGTCGATGGCTCTCTCCATATGCCAATCTCCATTTGCCTCGATCAGAGACTGTTGAACTACTGCACCCTCGCCAAACTCGTTCATTCCCATGAACGTCAGTAGTTGGTAGTTATATCTATAATATAATAATGGAAAGAAACATGTATCAGTCCTGTTCAGATCCATGATCATTATAATTCACATTCCCCAGACGCACCGATTCGTCTTATGGCTGCAATCAATAGCAACACCTCGCTGAAACGCGCAAACACAAGCCGCATGTGTGCACTTGCAATCGATATCACTCCTGTCTCGCCACAGTCCGTATCGGCCACCGACAAAAGGTTCTCGGGGTCGACTGCGGCAAACAATGCGAGCTCCCTCGCTGTTTCCTCGTTGTCGTCTACGTTTGTCATGGATGAAGAATAGTCACGCACCAGATTGTCAACGTCCGCCTGCATGACGTTTTCGTCATGCTCTAAGAGGTAGTCGTAAATCCTAGATCGCTTGGCTCCAACCTCCAGCATACCCTGAACACGCGCACCTACCAGCGGGTGAAACACACCGCGCGACGACGGGTACGTCGCGAAAGCCGCGGGAGAGACTTGATGGTTGTGTAACCAGACACCATTCTTCACCTGAAGCTCTCCACGCGCCAAATTCCACTGTACCACGAATCTGAAGGGACATCTCGTCAGCCGGACGTGCTGACGTGGGCGGCTGCCCTCACTGCGCGACTTTCTCTTTTTCCAGCCGTGCGTACAGATGTACGTGCGCTGGTACGGGTCAAATTCAGTTGGGACCAGCTGATCCTCATCCACACCTCTCTTCGTCTTCTTTAGCCGCTTGTTCCTTTCTGCGCATGACATTGTCTCCTTCACGGGGATGACTTGTAGCGTACGTCGGCAGTAGTCGACGAAGTAGTTCTGCCAGGCTTCCCAGTTCGCGTGGTATTTGACTGCGGGGTCCACGGTCACACTCGCAGCGTCACTGGTGTTCTGGCTTCCAGCATCTTCACCATCACCATCCATTTCTGATGACCGCGCAGCCTCTGTATTTCGCTCATCTTCTACATCCATGTGCTCGCTCGCCTTTACATTCATGTTGCGGCCTCCGGGGTCCTCTGTCTGGCTGATTAGGCTTCCTCCAGGCTCTACAGCCTGTTTCGCGTCATCTCCAGCGCTCCTCCGGTCCTGCTCACCTCCAGACTCCGCAATAACTTGCTCGTTCGCGATCACAGAGCCTCCACCCAGAGGAGATTCGTCACGCATGTCTTCCTGCGCAGGCGCGTCGTCCGCGGCTCGTGGGACAGCGTCGACGGCGTCCCTCGACATCTGACCGGCAAGCGCCAGAAACAAATATGAAACCTCCCGAATTTATAATGATCGGAAATAGCAGAGTTTGAAAGTAAATTTATATTGCAATCCTGGACACATGCAGGATTGGAACGTGTACAATTCCATGTAAATAATCTTGGCCTCCAACGGTTCCGAAAATTTAATGGTTTTTTTCGTCTGAATGCCATCCGAGCCAATCAGCATGCGTCACGACGAGGTTTTGGAACTATGTTAAAAGCCAACCAAGCTTATTTTATTACGCCCTCCCCCTCACTACCCTAGTGTGTACAACGTACCACACTAAAATTACGTACCAAACACAGATATCGCGATCATATTTTCGTGTCTATTTTCGGACGCTGCTTTCCCGCCATCACTTATCCTAATTCCACCAGACGCTGACATGACGGTCAATGTAGGCGACACAGTGCTGGCTTACCATGGACTAATGATCTACGACGCTAAAGTGCAGAAGGTGGATAACGGTCAGGGTGTTCTGGAGACGCCTGGCGCTGGGGGTCGCCCCACAGACAACACGCAATACTACCTGCACTACCAGGGTTGGGCCAAGAAATGGGACGAATGGGTTCGTCACGACCGCGTGCTCGAAGACACGCCGGCCAATCGGACGCTGCAGAAGAAAGCCAAGGAGGACGTTGCTAAGGCTAAGAAGGAGAAGCGTCTTTCCAAGAAGAAGAAGATAAGCTCGGCCGGCGTCGACGCCCCCAGTTCTCGCAAGTCCCCGTTTAAACGCCTAAAGCGCAGCACGGAGGGCGAATACGAGGAGTTTCCAGGTCCCAATGACGCCTCAGCGGAGGACGGAACGACCGCCAAGCAAATCAACATCCAGATGCCCTTCTCGCTCAAGAAGCAGCTCGTAGAGGACTGGAAGAACGTGACCCACGCACCGCACAAACTCGTGCCGCTACCAAGGAAGCCTAATGTGAGTCAGATTATCCAGACGTACCTCGAATTTAAGAAGAGCAAAGTGCGCACGGGAGAGGCCAGCGAGGAGAAGGAGTACAAGAATATTGAAGGCATCATGCAGGGCGTGCAGTCGTACTTTGATCGTGCACTGAGCTCCATCCTACTCTACCGCATGGAGCGTCGTCAGTACCAGGAGCTCCGACAGAAACAGAGCGAGGAAGTCCCGCTTTCGCAGATTTACGGCGCTGAACACCTTATTCGGCTTTTCGGTGCGTGCGTAATATTGCTTGTGTTATTTAACGGGCTATCTTACGTTGGTGTGTCTGTTACAGTGAGATTGCCTGTGCTTTTGGCGAGCTCCAACATTTCTCCACGCGAGTTGAACCAGATCCAGGCGCGTCTCAACGATTTCCTCAAGTTCATTCAGAAGAACTCGGCGGCGTGGTTCGTCACGGAGTATGAGGCTGCCTCGGACAAATACGTCGAGCAGGCCACTGCTGCATCCTCCTAAAAATGACAAAAAGGGCACAAATTGCATGTTTAGTCATCTTCAATTTTCAAAAGTTGAATTTTCAGGTTACACAATGTAACCTGAAACTTACATTATCGTACTTACAGTGCTCGTTTGACATAGGTACCTCAATTAACCACTTTGAGGTTGAGCAGCTTCCCGCTAAAACGTCACTCATGTCGGTGACACACTGGACTTGGTCCATGCTGCTGTACGCCATCACTAGCTGGCAGGCCTGGACCTTGGCTGCGGTAATGCTCTACGTAGCCTTCCAGCTCCATTTCTTACCTGAAGGACTGGCACGAGTCGTGGCTCGCGTGTACTTCTACCCGACGTGGCCGCTGACGTACCTTTCGCGACGAAAAAACTACTGGACGTTGGTGGATTCTCATGTCTTGTTGGGGGCCGCGCCGATGTCCTTCATGCCTCATGTGGACGCTCTAGTGTCTCGTGGTGTCCGCGCAGTTGTCAACTTGTGCGACGAGTATGCTGGACCCGAGAAGCAGTACAGACGCCAACATATTCAACAGCTCCACCTCCCTACTGTGGACCACTCGGAGCCTTCTTTGGCAGCGCTGGAAGCGGCTGTGGCCTTCATTCGCACTCAAAAGCAGCGGGGAGTGAGGACCTACGTGCACTGCAAAGGAGGAACCGGACGCAGTGCTGCTGTGGCGCTGTGCTGGTTGGTTGCTAACCGGGGAATGACTCCGCTCGAGGCGCAAGACTACCTCAATGAGAAGCGCCATGTTCGAAAGTCACTCTACCTGCAGCCAAATGTGCTTGCGTTCTGCAACAAGATTCAGACGCCCAAGTCAAGCGACAAGCAGGAACGGTCAAAAGTATCGTCGGACGGAGAAGCAGACGAGTGAAGATCAGTTGGGACTCACTACTTTTAAGTACAATGACTACTTACACTACAGTAGACATAAGTTCATTCTAACGTGTATGGCATTGAGAACGATATCGCTGGGTGTTTTTCTGTCTTCTTGAAGCTGACGTCCTCTTTGGTGATGTCACCATTTCTATAGCGCACCGATAGTGTTCGGACCGCAGCGATCAGCTTCGTATCGAGTCAAGCACCTTTGCTACAAGATGGAGACAGCGACTCGTTGTTTAGCTGGTCAAGTTAAAGGTCTTGGCAGTGACGGATCGGGAAACTCGTAAGATTATTCCTAATGTCGTCCTTTCAACCACCGAGCAGGTCTTTTTGAATAATAAGTCATCGCATTCTGCTAGTTGAATGCTGCTGTGCTTTTCGACAGAACACTTAATTCTCGTAGAAGTTGCCAAACCTGTTGTACATGAGCTCTCGGTCGTACTTGGAGCGTGCGCTTTCGTCGGAAAGCACATTGTACGCGGCTGTCATCTCCTTGAACAAATCCGCGTGTGTGGACGTCTTCGCTTTATCTGCATAACAACCAAACGGTTACTGATCACTCCACCACAAACCCACCAGTAACAAATAACTTACCTGGATGATACACTAGAGCCAGCTTGCGATACGCCTTCTTGATCTGGTCGGTCGTTGCAGCCTTTTCAATCCCCAGAACGTCGTAGTGTGTGCGTCTTTGGGTCTTTGGCGCCATGAACGACGCCCGACTTCCACCAGACGATTGGTGTCTGCTGCTTCCGTAGCCATTGCTACTATTGTTACGTCGGAAATTCTCGAAGAAGTTGCTGTCAGTCCACGACGGTTCTTCCCAGCGGCGTTGGCGTCTCTGACGTTGTTCCCGCTCTGCGCGCTTCCTCGCCGCCTCTCGCTGTCTGGCTTCTTCTCGAGCTTTAGCGATCGCTGCCTTCGCCTCGTTCCGCTCACGTCGAACGTCCAGAGTGGCGTCAGCAGGCTTGTCGCGCGGTTGTTCGCGCAGATATCGATCAAAGTCCTTAACAGCTTCATGATACATTTCCAACGCTACATGACAGCGAGCTCTACGGAGCAGCGCACGCGGGTAGTTTGGCTTCCGTTGCAATGCTTCGTTACAGTCGAGGATCGCAGTGTGATACCGTTCCAGTCCCATCTGAGCTGCTGCACGATTGCAGTAAATAATCGCGCAGAACTCATGATGCTGTGGGTCGATCTGCACCGCCTCTGAGTAAAAGCGCACTGCTTCTTGGAATTCTCCTCGCTTGAACCGTTCATTGCCGTTGTGCTTGAGTTGCTTCATCTCTTGCCACTGTCGCTTCAATTGAATCACGTGAGAGCTGCAAGGTGCCACAGCTTCAAGAGCGTTAAGTATCCGCACTGCGCCTTCGACTTTATTCTGGTAATGCAGCGAAGATGCCCACAACAGTCCCAGGTCAATACCGAGAACTGTAATCTTCTCCACCGTTTGATCTTTCAGCGTCTTGACGCTCATTCCGTCTCTACCCACGGGTTTTGACGCTTTCCGTTGACTTGCTTGCTGCTTCTCGATAATAGAGTCACAAAACTCAACAACTTGATCGAAATCCCTGTCGTAAAACAGATCAAAACAGGCACATTAGCGTCCAGACAACTATAAGCATTAACTCAGTGCTTACTAGTACCTTTGGTGAAGTAGGATTCGGCCCTTCTGGACCTGCAGCTTCCGGCTACTTGGCGCGAGAATTAGAGCACTGTCGGTGTGTGCGAGGGCCTGTTTGAAGTCGCCGGAGTCAACATACCACTTGATTTCCCCTTGTAACGCCGTCAACTTCTTGATCGTCTCTTCCATCTTGGTAAGCGAAGCATGGTCTGTTTGATCACCTGTTCGAACGTGACCTCCCTGTCCTTCCATCAACTGCCTCGCAGTGTCCAGGTTCGCTTGAGCATGGGCAGTATCGCCCAGTAGCACTTGGATTCGACCCAAGCGCAGATACGCTCGTGCATAAGTTGCATCCACTTCAATCGACCGTCGACATTCTTGCTGAGCTTCAGTGATCTGCATCAGCATCATCAGAGATGCCGCTCGATTCGCGTGGAGCTTGGCCTTGTCAGTTCGGATCTCGGTCGAGTCCTCAATCGCGCCATGATACAGAAGCGAGTCGAGGACCTCGATACTCTGGCGGTAATACTCTGCAGCCTCTTGGTATTTCCTAGAGCAGTGAGCCACACCACCAAAACGCTTGAGCTCCTCCCAGTCACGCTCATCTTCGCTATCCATCTCAGCGTCACCCTCGACATGGTTGCTCGTTGTGGGCGGAGCTGATCGCGCACGGTCCCCACGAGCTCCAACGTTACGAAGTGCTGCACGAAGGATACGACGTGATCCAGCGAAAGCAGGACGAGCTGTCCGTTCAGCAGCTTTGACTGGTTGAGATGATTCATTTGACTGACTTGGATTTTGATCGCTGCTTTTGTTCTGCTGTGTCTGGAAAGCGGCAAAAGGGTTAGTACTTGCAGTCGGAGCTTCACTTTTCTTAGCGGTAGGTCTCACAGCATCAGCTGATACAAACGGCGATGACGTCGAGTGGCTCTGGAAAGTAGGCGTCACAAACGGATCTGCAGGAGGACTGCGTCCATGACGCCGAAGACGAGCATTCTTGCGGCTGCGTCTCTGGTGCATACCGAACGGAGATGGTGTAGTTGGAGACGAGGAAGCAAGCCCAGGCGATGGTTCTGGCTCAGTTGCACCAAGCTTGGCATCCTTTCTTGGACTGTTCTTGTTTGTGAACATTCCGCTTTTCCTGGGGCGGACTCGTGAATTCTTTTTTGTGTTTGAGCTACCAATCTGGAAGCCATCAAACGTCAAAGTTGAACCACTGCCATGTAATCCGGTAAAAGGAGACGCGGTTGCTTCTGTCTGCGAGTTGGTCGTGGCTTCCCCAAATTGAAATGGGTGGCGTGAAGTACCGTTACCAAACAAAATCTGTTCGCTCGTGTCAGTGTTTGCCGTCGTCGAGCTGCTGGTCGAGCCAAAACTGCCAGTCCGGAATGGAGAGGAACCAGGTGTCTGAAACGGGTTAGCTTGTGCGCTCCCAAATACGTACGACGCGCCAGTATTGCTTGTGGATGACTGCTTCGACGGCATCGCTGAGGTCGTCTCGCTTGTTTGTGTATGTGACATAGTCCCGAATATGCTCGATGCATTTGGTCGATCGCGAGTGGCTGTTGCAGCTTGAAAAGACGACGATCCAAACGTAGGAATTGATGACGAGACACCGAAAGGCGACGAGTTCGTGCCGCTTTTTGGCTGAGGCACAAAAGCTGATCCTGCGCTTGATTTTTTCTTCCGTCGATCAGAATGCCGCTGTTGCGAGCTTGGTCCAGCTACGCCAGTCGTGAAGATCGCAGAAGCAGCACTGGGTTCCTTATTGGGGCCGAACCTTCCAGCCGAAGCGCCACCAATGGGAGCACTTGATCCCCATGAAGATCCTGTTGCTGTAGTTGAAGGCGACCCAGACGCGCGAACAGATTCGCTGCTGTTTTGTCGTGACAAGGTAAACGGGTTTCGATTCTTGTACCCTTGTCCAAACAGAAACTCCCCATTCGGCGTTCGATTCGCAGGCTTAACTTGTGGACCTGGACTCTTCATATGAGTGTCGATTCCATTATCCACGATCTTTATCGGTGGTGGTGCCTTCGAAGAGAATTTGTCTGCACCGTGACCAGCAAAGTTATAGGGTTTCGGAGGCTTTCCGCTTTGCCCAATAGTAAATCCACCATCAACCGGCACAAAAGGTGTGCTAGCAGAATGCCGTGGACTAGGACTGCGCATGTGCGTATCGTCATTAAACGTAGTCGATCCTGTCTTTCCAAATGTAAAACTCGGTGTCTTGGGCACTGGAATCTCCACCGTCGGGAAGCTAAACGCTGGCTCTGGTTTATCTTCAGAAACTTTATCCTGTTTCTCAACCGAACTATCCATCGAAAAATCTGCACTCGTATTGCTCTGTGCAGTATTCATATTCTTGTCCTCAGTAAACAACGTCGAGAACCTCGGCGACACTCCCGTGGGGCGGTGCTGAGTTGCAGACGCTCGTCTCCTCGCTGGCTTCTTGTCCGCCACTCCAGGCTCAAAACCCGCGTGGAAACTCCACTGTCCTGCGTCCACGTCGAACAAATTGGCCTTCTTTGTACCCTCAGCCTCCGTCTGCTGCTCCTCTCCCTCTTCATCTGCTTCTCCATCTTCCTCTGTCTCCACATTGCGTCGCTTGAACGGATTGTCGTCGAAAGCCGCTTTAAGGTCCTTCCACGCATAGAAAACTCCGTTGTTCTTGTCCTGTTGGGTCAAGTCAATGACCTCATCCTCCTCTGTCCCGTCCAAAGTGTCCATCTTGGAATCCGACTGCTGCACGTCCATCTCGTTGTCTGGATCCAAGTCGTCTGTGTCCACGGAGCTCGTGACAGAGCCTGCATCACCCAACGACGTCTCGGACGGCGCGTAGTCTTCGTCCTCGTCCTCGTCGCTCTCTGGAGACTGCATGGGGCACGAGAACGAGTCCGTGGGGCTCGAAGGGACCTCTCCATAGGAAGACCACTGGCTACCTTCGTCGGACTGCACGTCGCGCTCGTCGTCTGAGCTCTCTGGGTACTCTACGAGCCGCACCATGACGACGGCGCTTGGGCGCGGAAGCTCGAGCCGTTATGAGTGAATGTAGTTGGACGGAAGGGTTGATTGACAGTGACTACCTGGTTTTAGTGACGTCAATGTTGCGAGTAGCAAAAATAAAAGCTGCAGTTTGCAACATAGGTTCGTACATAGAGGGAGTTTTTCATCATTTACAAACACTTTTTTGATTTGGGTATGTATTGGTTCATCTATGAGCGCTTGGCCTTCTTGCTGCCCTTAGAGGACGAAGATGCCCGCCGCTTGGTGGGTTTGCTACTTTCTGCCGTCTCGTCATCGCTGTCGAGCGCGTCTCCAGCCTGTTTCCACGCCACGTCCTCCGCTGCTTCGACGTCTGCGTCTCCCGTTTGCCGCACTCGTCCTACCTCAGTGCCGTGCTGGTTGTCCCAGTCCTTGAGCTTGGCGCCCATCATAAAGTCGTCCTGTACCACAGACCACGAGCTCTTGGCCGCAGGTTTCTCTGTGGTTTTCTGCTGTGAGGCCTTGAGCAGACCCAGAAAGTTGTCCTTGGACATTTCCTTGACCTTCTTGTCGTTCTTGTCCTCCTTCTTGCTACCCTGGTGCTGGTGCTTCTCAATCGCGTTAAACAGAGCCACCACTGCATCAAATAACGCGTCAGAACCTCAACGATAGACAATTCATCTCTGCACTCCTCACCTCCTTTCGTCGCAATCATACGCAGTTTGCGGTCCTGCACGGCCGTCGTGTGGTCAGGCACCGCCATGTCCTTCTGATCGCGCTCACGCTTCTCCGCAGCACTCAATCGCGCCGTCTTGGTCTCCTTTTTATCGCTCTGGATTTCACGCATACGCGCCGTCGTGCGCTTGGCTAAGATCGGCTGCGCGTCCTCCGCCACATTCTGGCCAAGAATCTTGCTCATGGCGTCTCCGAAGCCCACGGCGTCGTGGGTCTCGTCTTCCTCGTCATCGGAGCTTTGTGGTTCCACGTCCTCCTCCTCATTGCTCTGCTCCTCTTCGCTGGCAGGCGCATTGTCGGATGAAGCGTCTTGCGGCTTCTCGGCCTGGAGCGGCTCCTGCGCGGCCTTGCTCGACTCTAGCACCTCCGCCATGGTCTGCTACTAGTTGAATGTCAAGCACAATAACCAACCGATTCATGATGTGGTGTACATAATTGATGTAAAAGTGATGTTTCTTTGAAGTTGCAGTTATAGTTACTGTAGCCTACGCAGCGCGATAGCGTTTGTCTCCAATTTTCACTCGCATCGACAGGCCCATTGACTTAATCCTTGCCGGTGCATGTATACTCCCCATAGTCATTTTGGAGGACTTGGGAGGGCCCTTCGTATCAATATCACTCACATCATCTGCCATAGTCCGAAGACGCTCATGGAATCGCTCCTCTTCTGCAAACTTACGGAGCACATCAATAGCATCCGACAACTTCATTCGCTCTGATGGCTCGAATGCACATAATCTCTGCACCAACCACCATTGCGCGTCATTCTTAAAAGCTTTCGGACGAGGTGAGAATCTCTTTCGAGTCACGTGGAACTTGACTATCGGGTCTGGTACACGCTGCCCCCAAGGCACATCACTAGTCACCGTCTCCACCACGCACATACCGAATGAATACACATCGGACTGCGCATTGGTAGCCACAGGCTTTTCCTTACGGATCACCTCGGGCGCTTTCCAGCGGATTGCACCAACTGTTTCTTCGTCCCCGCTCGCCTCTGACGCCAAGAAACTTAAGCCATAGTCCGTTAGCATGGCACGCCGTCCTTACTCACTAGAATCTGGTTACATTTCAGATCACTATGCACAATGTGTCTTGCATGTAAGTAGTGTAGACCGAGAGCAGCGTGGAGCAACTTCCGCCATACCAACGATCGCCCTAGTTCTCTTGTATGGTCAAGTAACTTGCCATTCATGGCCTCCTCGCACGCAAAGAAATACGTCGAGCCTTCGTCACAAGCACCGAAGAACGTTCGGGTGTCTTGCTTTCTGCCAGATACGAGCTTCTCGGTGGAACGTGCGGTTTTCTTTCTTGGTAGCGACCTTGACGGTCTTGACAACGACTCGCATGCTGAGGGATAGACTATTTCCTGGGTCGTATAAAGATCTGTTCGTGAGTTTGGTCGCGTCATTTTGACGACGCAAACATCAGATCCGATCAGCAATAGGTTGATCACAAAGTGTCCTGCAATCTAAACTTTGAGGTGGACGTGTTACCACTTTTGAATGTTTTATTATTACTTTGGGTTGTTTTATCATCATGTTTGAGTCGTTTATCATCGGTTTTAGATAGATTATCATTGATGTTATACTGAATATCACCGAATTTGGATACAGATACGTAGTATTAAAAGGGTACATGTATTTAAGCATGAGGGAGTCCCGGTAGATTATCTACTGGGTCGTATACGGGTCTGCTCGGCTTACGGGTCGTGCATTGTAACGGGTCGTCATTTTAATAGATCGTAATTGCGGGTCG